GGGGGGGGGGGTAGAAGGTTGATGTGACGGTTGGGGTACATTTAGGCGCTGGAAGAAAAAGGCTCGTGTTGGCAGCAGTTGTTGACGCCAATCTTGGGGCGGGTGGGTGGGATGACTTCGTACCACACAGCGCCTGACACACCCTGAAACGAAAAAGCAACTTCCCTGCGTTGAGGTTTAGGAGTGAGGGTTACGCAATTGTAATTGTAATTGTAATTGTGTCCGAGAGCCAGGGGCTGTGTAAAAGAGCTGCGTACCAAATGGTGACATGCGCTGTGATACTTGTCTCTGCCTTGCTTAGGTACATGAATATCCAAAAATCATAGCAAAAGAGAAGGGGGGGGGGGGGGGGGGGGGGGGGGGTGTTCGTTGCTTGAAGTGGATCGATAAAACATAGAGCCATCAAAGCAAAGCTTATTACTCACGTCGAGCAAGCNGTCTTAAGCACCTTGCTGTTGAGGTTCTGCACGAGGGTGTCCGTGAGGCGAGGGTTCGCCTTCATCTCCTCGTCGTTCATGCCGACGCCGACCACCTTGGAGAAGGACAAGTCCTCCGGAAGGTACGAGTCCACGGATGCCCCTTTTCGTTTCGACACACCAGTCATGATCAAGAACACAACAGGCACGGGGAACCGCAGGTCGGTCGTCACTCAACGCCATGGATTCATTGCTAGTCTATCCCGGACTCTTGCTATCTGTGAAAGACATGAATCTGTGAAAAAGACAAGTACATTGTTTTGTTTTGTTGAGCAAAAAAAAAAAAAAAAATGATGCGCGCAAAGAGAAGAGACCCCAGCATCGGGACCAAACCGCAGGCATGACAACGTGAAGACACACCCTTCCTAGTGACAACGCCAGAGACACCTTGTTGTCGTTTGGAGCGAAATGATCCACGACAGCACGCGCCATCCACCACACGCAGACATACAGAACTACATGATACTAAACGTCTTGACAGCCAGGCGTTTCGTCTGTCACGGCGCAACATGTTGTCGTTGTCGCTTTCACGTACCCCTTTCCGGTCTCTGCATAGTACTGTACTCTTTTTAACGTCCGCACTGGTCCATCTGACGCGGACGCCTTCCGTGGTCACAAGCTCTCAACATTTCGAACGAAAAAATAACAAAAGGACCCAGCGAAACGTACCATACAGCTCTTGTGTATTTACGCAGAGTATGCCTTCTTTTTCTCCCCGATCTCGAGAAACAACAAAATTGACTACAGTAGAGGTCCCTGTTCCGTGCCGGTTGAAAAGTGCCGGTGTTTTCGGCTCGCACACACTGGAATACCAAGTCGTTCTGTACTTCGAATAGTGCCGGTGTCCGGTTTAGTGCCGGTGAAATTTAGGCGCACACCCCGGCACTAAATAGGGACCTCTACTGTACTACGTACAACAAGAAGATCCTTTTTTCCTTCTTCTTCTTCCTCCCGGATCTCGAGAAACACCGAAAGGAACAACAGGAAGAGTAAGACCTCCAACACCCAACGGAATTTCTTGCGTGATAAGCCGGTCCTTCCTTCTCAACCAATCTCCAAATTAGAAACACCAGGATCGAACAAGAATTAATCTCTATTGAACAACAAGGGTCTTTTTTTTCCGAAATAACCTCTACTGTATCGACAGATAAAAAGCGTCCTTCCTCACCGATCTCTAGGACCGCCGCGCCCTCCGTGAGGAACCGGGCGTAGTGCTCCACCAGGGCCTCCTTGGGGCTCCCCTCCAGGCAGGGCTGCATCCGGGCGGTCGCGAAGGCCTTTTCGTCTTCCGACTCATCCGGGCGGGCGAAGTAGTCGGGGGTGTAGGGCCAAAGTGCTGGCCACTTCCACGCGTTCGGAGTCACCTTTTTTTTTTTGGAAAGGAGTTGCTTGTTGGCGCCGGGTTTGGCGTGTTGGCTTGCGGTGTTTATCGTCGTATGAATCGATGATGCTGTACCTTGATACGTGATACACAAGAGTTAGATAATATTTCAAGACTGTTGTACCTTGATGTTTGTGTCCTCGGCTTCCTCGAGGTCCTCAAGAATGGGGAAGCTCTCCGAGTCCATCTTGTCCGCCTCAGTCTTGGAACCCATTCGCCGGTCCTGTATTCATGTTTTCAAGGAGTTCAAAAATCATAACGGAACGGTTGCATGGTGTTTTTCGTCAGAAAACAAGGGAAGGGCGTGGGGGAGGGGGGGGGGGCACAACGCCGAAAAACGATATCATTAGGATGTTAGACTTTGACCACGCGTCCTCCAGAGTACGGAGCGCTGTTCCCACAGGACCGGTCTGCGATGGCCACTACTTCCTTCCTACTTTGACAAAGGTGGCTCCAAAAACACTATCCTATCCTATCGATGTCACTTCCCGCCTCTTCAGCCCACTTTTCAACCAGTTATAGCTGAATACCGTCTTCTCCTGCCTACTTCACGCCTCTTGAAAAGTTCTAGGTAACTTTCTTCTAGCTCAGTCATGTACATTTCTCTCTCCTCTTCGAAAAGCGGACATTCTGCAACTACATGAACCCGGTCATCACACTCGGCGCCACAGTGGCCTGTGATTTATTCGTTGCCTTCGTCTACCTTCTTAAACCTCCTCTGTGTTCTCGAAGGTCAACGGCAACGAAAAACTGCACAAATGCCGACATTGGTTATAGCTTGTTATGCTTGAGCCCGCAATCTTGGAAGAACAAGACAAACAACGCGGCAGCATACGGCACACACACACGTGCGTACAACGCAAGCAAGCAGGAGGCATAGAACATGACCCTTCTTGGTCCTCACTTTGGCCGAAACCTTGACGTTGGGGAGCTCAGCTCCCTTCTTCCCCTTTCCCTTGGTCTTATCCATGTTGGCCACCATGGACACCGACGACACTGCCCTCCCCGGTCTGCTGCGCAAGGTTGAATAATTCGACGACGTTGCCGCGACAAACACACAAGGAAAGAATGAACAAGCCGGTTTTAGTCGCAACGAAATTCGCTGGGGTTTGATGCCGGAACTTGAGGTCGAAAGTGGGAGGAATGGAAAAAAAATATCATATCTATATTTACGGTGGGTCGCCCAGCTGCTTAGACTGCCGTGTGCACACTCTGCCGTTCTCGTGGTTGCCGCTTACATCTCCACCGCTCGCACTTCTGTATAGAACGGACGCAAAAAAAACACAGGGAAAAACCACAACTGCAGACCTCCAAAGGGAAACGGGGACAAACCATCAACTGAAGTGTTCGAACAATCAAGCCGGCAACACAACCACTTCCCCCCCCCCCCCCCCCCC